TAATTTTTTGCACTAGTAGGACTTTCACCTTCAACAATCATAGTCCAAACTTATTCTTTCCATCAAATTTTTCTACTTCAAATTTTATATTTGAGACCTTTATTGTCATTGTAATGTCACAATCTTTGCTCCAATATCAATTGTTAGAATAGCAAATTGCACATTCATAATAATAAAGATAATAATAAAAAATCATATGTAAACATATACAATCTATACGTTGTCGTGTTGTAACATGACTATATGGTGAAAATATAAATGAAAAAGATTTTATTAATATTTAGTCATCTTGGATGTTAGAAACAAAGGCCAATTCCAGTGCCAATATTTAGGGACCACTTAATGTCATCCCATTGCAAGCTATACTACCATACGTGACATCAGCAATATGCTCTATCAACGTCATTGAACCAAGTACCCTCTGTACCAACAGGGCAACTAAGATCATTTTCTAACCCTACATGGAACAAGCCTAGTAGGTATATATCGGTGGAGACACCCAATATGCTTGATAGAGGTGCAAGAAGACCACTTTGTTGTTTTCGTTGTAGACAGATTGATCATTATACTAGTGAATGTCTCAATCCTAGAGCCAGTGACAATTACATGCCAATGTGTGGGAATTGCAAGCAATCGGGGCATACTTATTAGCAATGTGATGCTCCGTTCAATTTCAATAATCGTGATCAGCAGATCCAAAGCCAAGAAAAAATTGATGACATAAATTGACGTCCTTAAGATACTCGGATAAATCGGATGGAATGTGTCCAAGCCGTTCTTACCAGGAGTCGGCAAAAGGAAAAAGGACCGATTCAACGTTTGGGTGAACTTGATGAAAAGGATCAATTTGACCCAATTATGAGGATATCCAATCCAGGTCCTATTATGGGCCTCTTACCCAATATGAGACCTAACTTGGTTGGGCAACCCAATGAGGTCCCGATTACAGAGGCTTCGATTCCATTTCAAGTTGTTCCATTTTCTAGGCCATTTTGGAGAAACATCCTTTCCGTAGAAAGATCCTCTCAGAGGCAAGAATTGCATAGAAGAGCGGTCTGCTGTTCCAATTCCGAGTCCATGGTGGAAGAATAGGAGACCTCATGGAGTAAAAGGAAAAGAGAGGAAAATGAAGGGAGCATTGGGAGATCGGGATTTTGAGGGTCGGAGAGCTAGCTTCAAGCTCCTTCGAAAAGTGTAAGACTTAGTTTTTTCATAGGGTTGGGAGGACTGGGCAATCGTTGCTCAAAGTCAGTGTTTGTATTGTGATTTGGATTATTTTGCAATAAAGTTAAGGTTAGTACTCTTGAATGTTTTACAAAATTAGAGAGACATCTGCAGTTGAAATTTTAGAGGTGTCTAAATGGTTGAGTATGCCAAGTGCATGCAAAAACTTGTATTAATCTAACGGTATGGATAGAGGTTATTTGATCATTAGTATAAAGAAGTATCAAAAATTGGCATATTGGGGTTGTTTATGATTTTTATAATATCTGGAGATCTACTAGCTGGAATAACTTGAATTTTAATGTGGTAAGTCTAGGACTTAAAGGCGGAGCTGCACACAAAGTTTGAATGAGAATTAATAGTTAAAAAAGGAAAAATTGGAAGTCAAAGTTCATCATCAACTTCTAGGCTGCGGTCAAGGGACATCAGTGTGGATTTACGGCATTTTCTTGTAATCTATAAGTTGGATTGGATTGAACTTCTTGAGCATTTAGAAGACTTGCAAAGACACTAATAGTAGAAGTTTTACAATAATCGGACGGTCAGATTGAGAATTACAGCTTGCCGAAGCTCGTTGTCTAGAGTTAGGGTTTAAAAATTTAAAATAAAGTAAAATAAAAATAAAAATAAAAAAATAAAAATAAAAATAAAAAATAAAAATAAAACTAATAAATAACAAAAGAATTTATGCTTATAATATCTAGAAGTTATTAAAATAGTATTTCTAAGCACTTTGTATTGGGATTAAGCTTTTATATTGAAATCGGAAATAGTTTGTATTTGGATAGTTGAAACCCACTAGACTACTTAGATACTTGCAAAACATTGTTTTATCTTCTACAGCCAGACGCACGGTGCATTCTCAAGCTAGATAGCACATAATACAACAATGTGGGTCACTTTTTCAAAAACTACATCTATAGGAGATAGCTCACAATTTTATTGATGCTACATCTAAGATATAACATGTTTCTATTAAGCTTACTTTTGTACTATAAAATTTATCCTACATATTGATCTCTTATTCCAAATCTATCTAAGACTATTTCTCATTGGACCTCCTAAACCAAAAAATCCTAAATTTGATTTATTATTTTAGTATTTACATTCACTTATTATAGGTAATTTATATCTTAAGGCTCTGCCCTATACCATGGCCAAGAGGGCAAGAGTCTCATTGAATCCTTAATTATGACTAACCTCAAACATCCATAAGGATATTACTATTTAACAAAATATAGTTACTATCAACATTTAATATCCATGTGAATTAGAAATATTTAAACCTCAAGTCATGGAATCACATATACATGATGGATTTGGTAAAAAAAAAAATGGTTAGTAAATAAGTAAGTTCTTTATTAATAAAAGTAGTGGAATACTATTAGCTAGAATTAGAAGGAATTATTGAAGCTCTACTACCAAAACATTGCTATACAAGTGGAATTGATCCAAGAAACATCATAAGTAGCAATAGACTATATTACAAGCCTTTGGAAATGACAACAATTTTGTTTGAAGAGATTATAATCTGTCAATTGAAATAATTGATGTTGTTTATACTGACAAATATACAAAACCAAAAACTATTGAACAAGCCATAAGCGAACTCTATACTAAATGGCAAGTAGGTTGTAGATTTAAAACAAGTTTTTAAAATAAACTTGTTAGCAATGATTCTATTAAGTGTTTGAAAATATGTTTCGTTGTAAAGGATTTTACTTAAGTGAAGAATCTTAATTACCAAGAGACTTTTGTATCAATTGCTGTCTTGCAACAATCCATATATTTATTGCAATTGTTGCTACCTTTCATTTAAATATGTTGCAATTAAATGTAGTTTTGATTTATTTGAATTAAAAAATTAGAAAAGAAGATATCTGTATGAAGATTTCAAAATATTTAAAAATTCTACTTGAATACAAAGACAAGAGATTGCAATTATTAAAGTTCTTGTATAACTTGAAGCAATCTAGACAAGAGTAGAAAAAAGATTTAGATGCATCTATGTAGAATCTTGATTGAAAGCTTTCACAGTCAAATTCTTGTTTGTATATAATATAGATTAAGGAATTAATTGTTGCATTAATTATCTATATTAATAATGTATTGATTGATGGCAAAAACTTTGAAATCCTAATAAAGTACAAATGATGAATTACAAAAATACTAAAAGATGAAAAACCTTAGAGATCTTAGTCATTTCATTTGCATTGATTTCTTACAAGACAAAAAGAATGGTACTGTCAATTTGAGCCAAACTAAGTATATTTATTAAAAGTTGGAACAATTTGAGATGAAAGATGCAAAAGAAGTTGTAATACTAATGGTATTACTTCAACTCATTAAGCATGAGAATGACAAATCTTTGAATACAAAAAGTATAAAGCTTTATCAAAAAGTTTTAGATTTATTGCTATACCTTACAAATGGTACAAGGTACAACATTCTAATTGCTTGTCAATACTTTGTTCAATACATGTCACATCTATTTATTTCTCATAAGAAAGGGATTAAGTAGATATTTTGTTACTTCCAAAAAACAAAAGCTTTGGTATTACAATGTAAAAGCAAAGAAAAAAGTTTACAACTTATCAGCTATAAAGATGAAGATAGAGCAAGTTAAGTGAAGATGCTTCATCTAGTAGGTGATTATTCATTTATATTAAGTAGTATAATCGTGACTTGGTGAAGCAAAAAGCAATCATTAGTTTTCATTTTGTCAAAAGGTGTAACGTATGCATCTTTAGCCATTGTAGCGAGAGAGACTTTGTAGCTTCATAAAATATTTAGAAATAATGGCATTTACAAATTAAAGAAGATTATTATTTATGATGATACCAAAATTCGATTATTATTACCAAAAATTTAATACACTATAGTTGTAGAAAGCATTGAAATACAAAATATCATTTTATCAAATAATATAGAGAGAAATGACAAATTAGGTTGAAGTATTATCTTATAAAGCAAATGGCGGCAAATATTTTCACAAGACTTCTTCTTTGAAATGAATTTCTAGCTTTCAAAGATATATTAGACCTTGTTTTATTAAAAAAAACTAAGTCCCACTTTAGGAAGAAGAATGTTGAATAATATTGTAAGCTTTGTACTACAAGTTGGGACTTATCTAATATATAATGAAAGTGCAACAAAATAATGCCTTATTGTGGCTCATTTGTGTTTTCGACATTAGATGAATGTTATTTTTGACACATTAATTCACTTTCAATATCTTTAAGAAGAATTGTTAATAAACTTTCTATAGATTTCACAATCTAAAATTTAGAATTTGTAAGAAGGAAATATTTATTCTATTTTTGTTGTGCTAATAACCAATCTTTTGAATGTTTTGAAATACTATCAAACCATAATATTATTTGCATGTGTATTTATGAATATAATCTGGTTTTTCTGAAGAAAAATGTGGTTGATATTCAAATTTCCCTACATGTGTTTCAAACACATCTCTACCAAAAATAAATTTAAAATGATGTGAGTTTATTGATGCTCTGTAGTATTTGCTTTCCAAGATTCTTAAATTGCCACATGAAAAGTATTGGGAGGATGATAACTACAAATTTTATGTTAGTAGACAAATATCCGATTTCTGGGTCATATCCAGAAGATAATAAACACCATGCTGGTTTTGACTAAGAATTAAGGATTGAGCAATTATCCAAAAACTGTGATCAACTGAACGTCCAGCTAGCAAGGACTGATGCATGTGGTCTCTGCACAAGAGTGTAGATATATAGAGCACGTCGAGCACTAGATCAAGGAAGAATTCTCTTTTTAATAAGAGATGATTTTAATGAAAATGTTATGTAGGCTAAAAAGAACAATGGAATTGCTCCAGAAAAAAGATTGGGTTCAAAATAAAGGTCTACAATTATGCATAGTCCTCGATATACCCCCAAAAGTCGTCACCTTCCTCTTTTGCAGCACTGGTTTCCTTCTTAGTGCTGAACCCACCCTCAGGCCGTGGTCCATTGAACCTTCGACTGCTGGGCAACGCATATTCCAGAACTCATCAAGATATGATAGAATCATGGTTTTGAAGAATAAGAAATAAAAGAGAATGAAATTAGAAGTAAAACAGAACAGCTCATGTGTACGTACACCAGTATGACTTCAGACTACTATGTCAAATGGCATCTCAAAGTCTGCGCGACAGACGACAAGTGACAGCGACTGCGCAAGTCAAGTCGAGCCAACTGATTGTAAGCAACCAAATAAACGAAATAACAGTTTTATACTCCTGTTCTAACCACCGGCTCATTACTGCGGCGTGTGAAAATGGCACCATGCTACAATTTATGTCTGTTAACTTTAGTAGAACAAACCAACCTTTAGTCATACTACATATAAGACAAGTTACACGTGAAGATGTAAGCAGGCATATTGAGCATCCCCAACCACAAAGTATTTCATAAATTTGAAACAACAACCTACGCCCGATAAAAAACAGTTCCATCAGTCTTTATGATCCTTCTACTACCGCACTAAATACGACACTTCAGTATCCAACAAAGCATTACTAAATCAAGGAAAATTAAATTGTTCGGATAACCCACCGGTCATGACTAAGGAGGTTCTATATACAGAATGCTTGTCTAAGTTGCATTACTCAGCTACCTGGATCATTAAACGGCAAACTTTGAACCAAAAAAGAACATCACTCATTCAATGCCAATATCATCATTTACAGTGTTAATTTAAATAGTAAGTTATGAAGGCAATCACTGGAATCAGTGTCACGTTTAATCTGAAACTACTATGAGACATGCCAGGATTGTCATCGAAAACACAAACAGAAAGTGGAGGCCAATCCAAGTTATGAACGTAACAAGACAGACGAACATAATACCTCTGTTTTCTGCGATGAGAGTCCTTCTGCTTGCGCTTAACAATATCCTGTGAAGTCTCATGGAACCTCCTGCGCCGACACTCAGGAATCACTCCAGCGGCCATAACAGCTCTCCTGAACCTTCTAACTACGGAATCAGCTGGCTCATCCTCACCAACAAAAACCTGAATCAACACATCCACAAATTCATCAACAAAGAAAACACTCGTTCTCTCAACATCAAATAACCCTCCATCCTCTATCACATGCCAAGCAACACCTCTCCCAAAAAGAAAAAATTCCAACACCTCAATTCACAACTACCGTTGAAACGCATACCTGTGCATTGTAGCTACCTTTGAAGTACATGACATTGACAAACTCCAGATCCGGGTGAAGCACTGACACGGCCGGCGAGGAAGAGCACAAAACCTCACCATGGTGCAGCGACAGGGGCTGCACTGCGAAACCGGACTGTTGCGGCAGCGTCACAGAATTGTGGCTGGAAGTCATGCCATTGCTGCTGCCGTTGCTGCTGCTGGATTCGGCGGCGGAGCACCGCAACAACGAGGCGATACGCGACGGCGCGAAGACCGAAGCCGAAGACATGGTCATGTCTGTTCCCACTGCTGCAATTCAATACAAGACAATGCCAGCGCCTTCGGATTAAGGGCCGTGATTAAGCAAAAAGGGGGGGGGGGTCTGGGAGAAGGAGGCTTCGAGGATTCAGAGGGTTGCGGGGCAGGATAAGGATGAAAAATCCTTTCGGATTAATGGGTGGATGGATGTGGATGAATGAATAAATTCCTGGCGGTGCTGTTGTCGTGATCACCGTGATTGTAAATTTAAGCTGATATTCTCACTTTGGCAACGAGGCTTGTGTGTTGATTCATCAAAAAGAAAATAATAATGAAGTGGAAATGTGGGAGTGAGTTTGGAAGATCAGTTTTTTCTAAAAAAAAATTTTGCAAAATTATATGTTGTTTAAGAGAGAATTGGATGGATAGGGTACATAAGTATGTTAAACATTTTTTTTAACTATTTTATACATGCGATTTATCATTAATAAAATCCTATAAAAAATAACATCAAAAACGTATATATATAAATATATAATAGAACATTGTTTTTCTGTAATGGCGAAGCTAATCTACATATGTCATAGATTAAAACATAACGGGTCATCCTAGATACTGAAACAGTTACTACAAAAAAAACAAAAAATATAATCAAATAACCATCTATACTATAAAATTAAAATAAAAGAACATGTTTGTTTCTCTGGCACCATATATTGAACAAAAGACCAGGTTGATAGATTCAAAATTACCAACTCAATGTAATAATTTTTGTTGATTTTAAATAAAACAGCTGAGTGTCCCGGGGTACACATACTTATATATATATATATATATATTTATGAGTGTGTGTGCGTGTGTGTGTGTGTTAGAACAATACTAATAATACTTCATGGGTTTACATGGGTTTACAGCTGTAGTCTTGATATGATATTTTTTTCTATTTTAGTTTCTTTTGCAACTTGATTTTCTGGCTCTTTAGACATTCTGCAGAAAACCGTCTATCTGGAATTCTCGTTTTTTTTTTTTATTATTTTTTTTATTCATAATATAATACAATCCACCTCCAACTCAGAATTCCCAATGCTCAGATTTCAGAATATAACTTTGTGTGCTCATAGTGGTTGTATGTGTTATTGTAGGATCTCCTCCCATGCATCTCTTGTAGGGCTTCCATTTCTGTTTCTCACAGCAGTTTTTGTGATAAATCCTAAGTTTTTTCATGTGAGTACTTCCTGTATTCACACCCCCAACCAACATTTCCAACTCGTTTCACTTATACAAACATTTGTGTATTTTATCTCATGATATGGAAGTACTTGCATGTCATATTTCATTTCCTAAATACATGTATATATTGATATACTTCAAATGTAGTGTGTGTGTGTGTGTATATTAGAAAACATACACACTGTAATTGTAACCAATTATAATAGTATCCAGAAAATTACAAACTATTATTTCAAACATATCATGTTAATGTATGATTGTATAAAATGCAATTTCAAAATGACATATATTTTGATATTTTCATACTATGGTAAAGAAAAGTTTTAAAATAGAGACTTGGTTGCACACTAGTCCATACATTTAATTGAGACGTATTTGAACATGTATGATCCAGCCAATGGTAGTATGCATTGATGGTTGTAACCAAATATTTGTAGCATATATTTAAATGCAGCAGAGTCAATTTTGAAATTGATTTTTATACAAAAATGTGAATAAAAGTTCAAGGCATTTGAATAACAGGAAACATAATTTCATTGCTCAACCACTACAAGTCTATAAACATAACCTTTATAAAATGAGGTTTCTAATTTTGGGCCAAATATGTATGATCATTATTAAGATTGCATTTTCTGAACAACATTTAGAGATTTCTAGGTGTATATATTTTGGTCCATATAAAGTGGAAAATATTAGATAGCATGAAAATTATTAGAATGGGTAAAATAAAACTAAACATAATTTAGAATTAATTTTCAATGTCTAAATCAACCAAAATTAATTAGTGGGTTTAGGATATTCTTGGACAACACAAGGAAAGTTCCTCAAGTAGTTCTATTGAAGCAGCATGTCTTTGTTATACCACCAATTTTCATGTCAAGTTTAACTGACACTACTGCAAGAGAATGTACCTGGTTCTTTTCCCTTGGCATGTGAATTCACTCATGTCCTCTTGTGCATTTGAGATGCCATTGGGTCTTCACAGATACAAATTGCACACAAGTACAAGTAGCATATTGACTATGTTACTTGTACAAAAAAAAAATTGAAACTTACTAACTTGTGTACTTTTCCTCTTAAAGCATAAGTACTCACTTGAATAGAAATAAAATTCGTTTTATACAAATTATTGGGTTATTAAATTTCTTGATTTAACAGCCTTTGATTCTTAAAAAAACACAATGGAGAATCATTAACACATGCATAGTAAAGATATTAAAACAAAATTTCAAACCAAAAAAAAAAAAAAAAAAAAAGGCGTAATTGTATTTATTTTTCCAGTGTCCACAATCCCATGGAATTTTCAGTGCCTGTTTGGTGCATCCCATTTGATCAGTCGAATCGGAGTTGCATTGAGCTGACTTATAAGCCAGAGTTATGCTTGTAAAATACAAACTTTAGATAGACTTTACCTGCTTAACTCGAACGTTCTCTGATTATGTCGTTTTCGTGTTATTGGCAACGAGCTGTTGTAAGCTCATTCATAATTTTTCGACTTCTCGAAGTCTACTTATGTTTGCATGCAGTCTTTATTCGTCCAGTCATTCGACGGGAACTGCAGCTCTTTGGCATTGCCTACCCACATAAGTAACTCAGATTTTATAATTTGCGGCAGGATTGAATACAATGATGATATCTTTATTCCACCTGCAGCTTATCTCTTTTCTTTGATCTAGCTCTTTTCTCATCGGGTGCACTCAATTTGCAAGAGCAGAGTAGTACCATGTGCGAGATTCTGGAACGTCTTTTGAATTTTATCTAACTTGCGATTATGTTTTGTGATCATGTTCTGTTTCTTGCCGTTTTTTGTGGGACAGGTGATGAAATGACCAGAATAATTTGGCAAATGACCAAGGATAAGGTGAGTGCTACTACAGGAAAGAGTACCCACTATATGTCTGATTATCAGTGACAAATATGGAACAAGGCTCTCACGGTGAAAATTCGGCAGTGAAACGTCCTCTTTATTGAGTGAAACCTCAGCTTGGAATATCTCATTTTCTGATTGGCTGATCAACATGTTAGTGATCTCGAATATTTTACGTACAGGGCTTGGTCAGAGTCACGCGAAATAGGAAGTGTCGTGTTAAAATGAGCAATTTCTGACAAGGTGTTTGTGAAATCTGGTGCAGCTTATTCTTCCATTCTTGGAGGTTGATTTGAAATACTATGATCTGGGAATCCTGAACAGAGACGCCACTGATGACCAAGTGACACATGAAAGTGCCGAGGCTACCCTTAAGTTGGGAACTACCTTCTGATTTTATTCATGAACGCAGTTTTATCCACTACATAGATTCTAATGTTGCTTATCTCGTTTCATCAAAGCAACTTTATCTTGGACCTCATTGCTTCTGTATGATCAAACGATAACCATTCAATAACCAGCAAGATGATCACGAGATGACCTGGTCGATACTTACCGACGAGCGGATTTGATCTGGCTAAAGTTTTGTGTTGTTTGGTACAGATACACCGTCGCTGTCAAATGCGCAACCATTACCCCTGGTTTGTTTCATTCCTATCATCCATTTGATGTATAACGCCTGAAATTTCATGTTGGAAATCTCCCCTGTGTGTTGCAAGTCTAAGCATCTATTTTGAAGATCGGGCTTCCACACCAAATTATTTCGAACAATATCTCTGCACTTGAAACTTACAAATCTTGCAGCTGTGGTTGACATTGTTCCATCTAATGAACGAAACGTGCAATTTTCGTGACCAGATGGAGGGCATGTGAAGGAATTTGGACTAAAGCAGATGTGGAAGAGTCCGAATGGGACTATCCGGAACGGTTTGAATGGTATTGCTGGAGCACATCCGGCTAGATAAATTCTGCATGTTTCTGAATCGCGTGAATTTGACTGATCCCTAGTCAGTAATCACCTTATGCGCACGAAGTACTTTTTTGATCTTTGTTTTTGAGTTGGTTTCTAGGTGTTTATGTTGCTACGGGCAAATGAAACTTGATTTTAGGGTACGAGGGCACAAGCAGGAAGTATTTCCTAGAATTTCTGGAGGAAAGTCTCGTCAATACCTGAATGTCCTCCGTTGTTTGCAGGGACCGTGTTTCGCGAGCCAATTTTGTGCAAGAATATTCCTCGTCTTGTTCCTGGTACGCAACTGAATCGTAATCTTGTATTTGTCTTCTACATAAAGATCTCTTAATCCAGAATTTGGTGCGAAGAGATATCTATTTGTATACACTGGAGCACTGAATATAAAGTCCTTTTTATGCTGGAAAAAACTTATTTGCATCGGTAGGCATGCCTATGGCGACCAGCACAAGGCCACAGACGCAGTGTTCATGTCAATACAGAAGAAATGGCCACTATACTTGAGCACAAAGAATACCATTCTGAAGAAATACGATGGAAGGTGACCTACTCATCGATAATGTGTCTTCTAGCTCGATGAGGCAGCTGCTAAGCTGCTACCTTCTTAAGTCAGTATTTTCCATTCAATCGCTAGCTAGTTAGCAATTTTGTTTGTTTGTGGTCCTACCTGTTCATCAATGAAAGGTATTCTCAACAGTTTCTTAAGCTCGCTTTCATGAGCTGGCTAGTTAGACCACTTTAGTCTAGTTAGTCCTGTCAATAGTCTGAGGTTGTTAGTTATTTTCATTTAAATCATTATTTTTTGCCTGGTGATGTGTTTGTTCAAATAGTGAGTTCGTAGATCTGGTTGTTTCTGTTCAGATTCAAGGACATCTTTCAGGAAGTGTATGAATCAATCTTCAAGTTTTAACTTCTTTTTTTCTTTTTCTTTTTCTTTTTCTTTTTTTAATTTTATTTCCATGTCTGATGTCCAGATAATGGATATATCACCCTTCACTGCACAGTAATTGTTGCGTCTTGCCTTCAGATTTGTCCAGATGGCAAAACTATTGAAGCTGAAGCTGCTCATGGGACTGACTCGGCACTTCAGAGTGCACCAGAAGGGTGGTGAAACTAGCACCAACAGTATTGCTTCTATTTTTGCTTGGACTCGTGGACTGAATCACATGTAGATTTTCTATTCCATGTACTCACCTTGAATGTTTTTTTCCATCCTGCACGTTGGTCTCACATTATCGTCTTTCAAGCTCCCTGCATAGTATTTCATGCTTAATCATATAATTTTTGAGAAGCTTTTTAATGTATGACCTTAGTTACAGTTCATGCTAGCATATCGTGATTGCCATACACGTCTTTCTCTGAAAGATTCCTCGTAAAAGATGTGAAGTTGCATCATGCACGTCAAGCTGAGGTTTCTTGTGCTCTTGCCTCAGAGGGTTGCAGGATGGAAACACGAAGTTTCAAGATTTTGCTCAGAAGCTGGAAATAGCTTGCATTTCTGTCGTAGAAGCTGGAAAGATAAAGCATCTTGCTCTTCTAATTCATGCCCCTAGTAAGTTTAACAAGTTTGTGGTAGTTACGTATAGGTAACTTCAGGCTCAAATCTAGCTCGTGTTCTTTGTAGTTCAGGTGCCGTCAAATCGGAAGGATTTCCTGAATGGCCTAAAAGGTCTTTCAAAATGTCGTGGTAGTTTTGTGCATGTTACTGATCGGATGCACTCGAATGTATTCACAGGATGACCAGGAAAGACTACCTCACAACTGAAGAGTTCATTGATGCTGTTGCAGAGGAGCTACACGCATCGCTGTAACCGACATTCAAATTATAATGCCTTTGCTACCTGACTATTGAAGTTTAATCAACAGGGCAGCACCTATTCTATCTCATGTATACGACACTGGTCCTGTGTTAAGTGGAATTTTTAGAAATTTGGAGTTCATTAGCACTTCGTTTTGCTCATCACGCGTGTTTGATTTTGGAAGTACAAAATGTGAAACCACATGGTAAATAAATGATGCATCTTTGCCCAACCCAAGCTCATTCATTGCAGCAGCCTTCAACTTCGAGCGAGTGCTTCATTTCATAACCATAAATGGAGCCAAAAGAATGCATTTGTATTGACATGATTGTAATGATATTTCTCGAAGAAAACATTCTGGCTCCCTAGTCTAACAGTTTTTTATAATCTTTATGTTCAGCCTTTAAATATTCGAAACAACAATTGAAAGGAGTTTGATTGGACACCATAGAAGGGAGCGACTTTCAAGATTGAAGCAATACCTCTGAAATGATCTATTTAACAATGCATTCTGTCTTCATATTAAGCTTCTTATTATGGTTGCTTGCACACGAAACGTCGTGGTCTTTTGGGAAGATAGAATTAGTGCACTCGTTAAGTCATCTATGTGGATAGTTATATGAGTATGGCTTGATGTCTTCGTACTGTGAAAAAGTAGCTATTGCAGCGGAATTCGCGAACTCCAAAAAAATGGAGCTATGGATGATGGTGCTCTGTTAAACTTCGTGGGAGATTTCCAACTTTTGATTAGCTGAAAAAAGAACTGTAAAGATTACATTGGCTTCAGAAAAGTCTGCAAATTTCAGAGAGTTCAGATTATGCCAAGTCTTGTGAGATGATTTGTGCATGTTCAACCTCTGTCATAAGATCATGCGGTCAATTGCAGAAGAACGATGCGCTTATTTTACTCCCTGGTATATGCTGACCACAGATGCTTTGGTTTAAATTACAGATGTGGGCAAGCTCGTCACTCGTGAATTGTGCCAATATGAGGTATGTAGAAGATAATTAAGCGTATCGACAGCAGAAAGTTACACGTCTCGAACGAAACCAACTTATAGAGGATGAGAGCCAAAATTAATGAAGGCTTTTCTGAAATTTGGTTTCATCAACAATTTACAAATCCAGAATGTTTTCAGCGAAAGCTGGTAGAGGCTAGTATAATGGAATATTTAGCAGTTCAGGAACGTATGCAATATACACCAGTTGATTGACTGAACTCCATGCCTGTGCAGAAGAAGTTCCAGGTGGATGTGAACATAACGATGGTGGATATGAAGTTAGAATTCCTGTTCCAAGTTTATATTAATGTAATTGGAGAAGGGTTGTCTGAGAGGTGTTATCACATTTATATATTATAGAAGATATAATGCTTGCCTTGGTTTCTTTGATTTGACGGCCTCATTGTATAATCAAAAAATGATGTCTAATTAGAACAAGAAATTACAAAGAACTCCCAGCGCTGATCAGGAGACACAGGTAAAGATACTCCACAGGACGAGAGAATTCGTAGCCAGAGAATGGAGTTTGCGTAGACCTTCATGGTTGTCAAAGTTCTGCGTTTTAGATCCTTCAGGTACACCATGTATGACTTCAGTAACGTTTACAACAATCTAGCAGCCACTTCAGCACACGTGGTGGCAGATTGAGTGATGCTCTCTTGAAAAGGATTTGCAAATTATTTTGTCTTTGTGCATGACTTGAGAGACACATTATGAAACATCCTTGTTTCATCATGTGTTGACTGCGCTTGCTTCCGTGAGCCTCTGAATATGCTGCTTGCTGATGGTTTCTATAGAGCTCTTGGCAGGGATCCTGATAGTTGCAGTCCCAGCAAAGTGACTAAATAGGTGGTAAGAAAAAAATTCGCACTCCCATTGGAGACAAGCGTATCAATTGCAGCAAGTTTTACGTACTGAGGAGTTTGCAACATGAGAAGGGAAACATTTCACCAGATCGGTTTTTGAGGTGTTGCACTCTCCGCCAGAAACACCAGGCGGCTTACTCTGACTGAAAGTTACTTGAACGCTTCCTACAGAGCTTTGTTTTTACACCAAATGCGAAGCACTGCAGCTTTCTATCTTCTAAAGCAGCTCAGAAAACCACCATGTTCTTTCATCACCTGCAAACCGTATGCAACATAGTCACATGAACTCTCATACTAAGGAGCATGTCAAGAATATGAAGAGTCCTGTTCTCCTCAGAGTACAGCAACCTGTAATGTCTTCAGAGAGGAAGCAGAAGTTTTAAACGTGCCACTGAAGCACGTCGATGATAAGTCTAAATCACTCTGGAACAGCTGCTCACCTTCACTTGGAGCCACAATGTCTTCTGATGCACGTGATGGCAGGCTAAGAAGTCTGTCACAGGGTTCAATTGCCGCCAATTGACGCCGACTGCCACCCGCCCATCTCTGCAATAAGGTAGATTCAGTATGTTGTTATTTTCCATGAATGGTACAATTATACTCTAAAAATGCTTGGTCTTCTGCCGTGTAATATCTCAGTAAAGAGGATCCTCTTATATATTGCCTATTTTGAAGATCAGACGTGACCTTATTGTTCTAAAGTAGAATTGGAAGTTGAAGAAAACTTTTAAGGACGTTCAGGAGCACAAAATAATAATTAAATTTATTCTCTCCTTTCGGAAAATTGATGATTAATACCCATTATTTCAAAACTTTCAAAAATATCATGGTACGCTGCATATTCTGTTACATTGCTACTCTAAATTACATACAATTCAAATCTGGTTACATCCGGAAAAGAGATATTGATTGTTGAAAGCTTGAGCTTTGTTGAAGTGTGCTTCAAATTAAAATGTGAAGCGGCTACTCAAGTCTTAGTTGTAAAACACAGTATGCCTCCAATATGGCCCTCAAAGACATAAACTGTTGTGCAATCTATTTACTTTTAAAATAGCAAAGAACAAGAATGTTAACATTCATGACACAACTTTTACCCACCGCTTCACTCATTCCAAAGCTCAACATCATTCCAATCCTTAACTTCTTTGACATTTGTATTGGAGCAATATGACCTGTCCATACTAGGAGGACAACCATCAAACTCACCATCAAAACCCAATTCACAGAATGATGCACACAAAAAGCAAAAAAAATAAAAAGTGACACACGAAAGACACAGGACTCCGTTGCAGCTCACAAAAAACCAATTTCAACACTTCATTTTTTTCATTTTTTCACACACACACACACAAATACATATTTATATATATATATATATATATATATATACTATTTTTTCTATCTCATCTTGTTTCCCCTCTATCTCTTTGCCTTCCACATTTCAATGATGTGAATAGATGATTCCAGATAGGCAGGTACTCAATATGCCCATGTTCACAATATGATGAAGAAGTCCACACTCTCTCTTGCTCTCAAAGCTTGGCCACCCAAATACCACCCACCACCCCCATATTTGGAGGCAATTGGATGAAATCTATCATCCATCCTGGGTGAATGAAATATGGATGGATGAATGTGTCGATGGATGATAACCAACCAACCAACCTGAGTGAATACTGAGTGCACAAAGGGGGGAAGACAAAGCCCCTCTGGCACATGTGCAGAGCTTTGCCCCCCTGTCTGCCACACACACCTTCATCCATCTCCCATTCATCCCTTACATGTATTCTTTTCATCCATATGCTTTAGGAAGGAGCTCAGAAGGGACTCAAGGCAAAACCCATAGCCATGCCCTAAACAATATTTGGTCCATCAGCCATTTGTTCTCTATTTCTGGTTGCTATGGGTCATTGTTAACATATATATATATATATATATATATAATGTGTGTGTGTGTGTGTGTGTGTGTGTATGTGGGAATGCAGACGTGGTAGCTTCTAGAGCAATTCAAAACACACGTTTCATGCATGAGAACCAAGTGCAAGTGGAGACTCCGCCGAAGGGTTCACACAGTGATCCAAAATATCAACACATAAAAGTGAAGAAAAGAGGTGTGATTAATGTACAATTTTTTCATAAATAGACGTTTTTTTAGCAGAAGAATGAGACGAGGTTAGTCACACTATATGTGATTTGGAGACAGTTGTGAGAATACAGTATATTCTTTACAATTTTATTTTTATGAATAACATATTGTATGGAACTTTTTTTTTTCCTGTTTTTTTTTCGTGGATGCACAGCTGTTTTGAGGGAAAGGATCTGCAGCATCTCAAGCTAATTGAGAGATTATAACATCATTTCAAATTTAAAGATACATGATACTCCAATAATTGGCATTGGGATCAGAATTTAAAGATACATGATACTCCAATAATTGGCATTGGGATCAGCATCTTGAAATTTCACTCCTAATTAAAATCAATGGACAAGGAGACTATTTCTCAGTCATTATTGCCATAGCAGATCTGTTTAGATATATATATATATATATATATAGTAGTTTGTTTTGAGAACATCATTCTCATTTCATGATTCAACTTCTCCCTTCCAACAAAACCTTGAGAACAGTATCACTCAGTCTCCCAATAGCAATATAAAAAATAAAAATAAAAACTACCCCAACATTGCCATCATCCTCATCATTACATTGCTAAACCTCAAACCATCATACGCTAAATCTCGAAACCCTAAGACCCACTATGGCAAAGTCTTATTTCAAATCCTTATGCATCATGAGAAACAAAATAAATAAAATAAAGGAGAGAACTTGACAACTCCTCCCCACGTCTTTTTATTTATTTATTTATTTATTTTTTTACCTTATCTTATTCCACATTCGTGTACAGAGAGGTGTATCCAGCAAACTGTGGTACAGCTTTTGCAGGTGCTGTAGTTGACCCACAGTGTGCCGTGTTGTGGTTTCTCAATGCAACCAATTTGGGTCAAGAGCCCGAACAGATAACCGACAATTTTCTGCAACAAAGGCAAATAGACACACTCAGCAGCAGCAGCCCTGCTCCTGCAGCTACAGTTCAGTCTAAGTTTAGGGTTTGTTTGATGCAAGACACCCCCCCTACATGGGTGCTCGTCTCTACTATCACTTTTGTGTTTTTGACAAGTGTCGTTGGCAGAGTTTTAGGTCAAAAATGTGAAAGATGCACATACCTTTGAATGATGGTAACTTCTTTATCTGATAACCAACCATAATGGAGCAATGGGCATCCTTTTTTTCACTACAGACATGATTCTTATACTAGGGTTGTTGGTATTATTATTAGTTAGGTATTATTGGTACAGCTTTACAATACATGAATTGAGCCACCCTTGATT